ATATGTGTGTGTGTGTGTGTGTGTGTGTATATATATATATATATATATATATACATACACAATTATATATATATAAATTGTGTATTCCTAAAGAAAAAGGAACATCAGCCTGGCATGCCTGGCACCTTCTTCCGCCTCCGCCATTAGGGCCTAGTGCTCTCGCGGACGCTCGCCGTCGCTGTCGCCGAGGAACGACGCCGCGACGAGAGTCGGCCTCCTCCTCCGGGAGGGAGAGAACCGTTATGTCGACGCGCGCCTATAGACCACCTATAGGCCGCCCGGTCGATACGAAGGGACCCGACGAGGCTGCTGCTCCGTCCCGTCTCGCTGTCTCCGTGGCGCTGATTCTCGACAGGAGGGGACAGTTCCCCGATGCCCCCCGATCGTGAGGTGAGGCGACGCCGCATCCCACGGGATCGGGGACGGGAGACAGCGAAAATCCTCCCCCGCGACTCGCGGACTCGGGCACGCCGCACGTTTCCCTCCCCTCTCCTTCCTCCCCGCGCCCCCTCTATCTTGGCAAGTTTCTTGGCTCGTTTCGATGGGCTTGGCTCGTTTCGATGGGCTTGGCTCGTCCTCGGCTTCGATTTCAGGTTCAGGTTCAGCCTGTTCGGATTATTCGCCCTCCCGGAGTCGGGCGTGTGCGCTCGAGAGGTGGGAGAGGGAGGGAGGGGGTCTTCCGAGCGGGGTGTCTCTGACACCTGAGTAACAGCTGAGAAGATCTTTACGCTGGGAGAGGCGCGATGTTATCGGACGGCGCGGAGCGATGTCTCTTTGAGAAACGTCGCTAGATCTCTCTGGGATAGAGCCGTCGCTCGAGGCAACACTAGACAATGCTGTGCAATCGAACGCGTAGCGTTCTGGATCGTGTTTCATTTGCGTCCTCTGCTCGTGAATCTGGAGTCATCCGGAGGCCTCGACTGGAGCACGACCACGATGGTGTTCTTCCGATTGATCAGCTTGGTCGCTTCGAGGAGCTGCGTGGAACAATAGCGATGCAACGTGCATCGCCAAACCTGAAGTCTCGATAGAGTTGCGCTGGGGTATATTAACCTCTAATGAAATGCATTAACCTAAATACGCGTGGGGAACAAATCTGTTTAACGTGATTAATTAAAGAGAAGCGCCTTATCTTTCTCTGAGCGCTCTTTATCTTCTTATCATCATTCTATTTTGTCGTGTCTGTCTTTTTCAGTGAAAGTCAGCGTCGCAGAATGGTGGTGGATTACTGCTTGTCGATTCAGACCTCAGCAACTGCAGTAAGAAAGCAGGAGCGAAGGTTAGGTGGCACAGTGGGTGCAAAGATGCAACCCAACAGTGGAGGTGGAGGATGTGGAATGACACCCAAAGAGCTCTCTGACAATGATGACTTGGCAACATCCCTCGTACTGGATCCCTATCTAGGATTTACCACACATAAAATGAACATTAGGTATTGTCGGAATCATTTGATTTAATTGACGCATCACTTCACAAGTTATATGCAACTACTTACTAAAATTCTTTTTTATCCAACAGGTACAGACCATTGAAGGCAAACAAAGAAGAACTTCGGAAAATTATTTGTGAATTTATTCAAACTCAAAATTATGAGAAAACATACAAGAAATTAATGGGTGGAGATTGGGGTGCACGGCTTCCCCATACAAAATCCAAACAACAGCAGATCAATTTAGAAAATCACGTAAGTTATAGATGTACAATAATATGTGATCATATGTGATCTCATTTTGAAATTAAATTGTTTTATTTACAAAGATCTTTTATCACTATACAAACAATTTTTAAATGTATGTAATAGTTCTTTCCTTTCTTACAGATCAAACGATACCTGCGAGTTTTCGATAAGGATTCCGGCTTTGCCATAGAGCCATGCTATAGATACAGCCTAGAGGGACAAAAGGGTGCTAAAATCTGTGCCACTCGGAAATGGATGAAGCACGATAAAATTTCCTGCCTGGTCGGTTGCATAGCAGAACTTAGTGAAAAGGTGAAAAAGGAGTTTGCAAAACATATAAAAAAAGGAAAATTTTATCGAGTAGTATTTTCATTATTTCTATTTTTTTTCTTTATTTTAATACACATCTTTATTTTTTTAATATTTTTAGGAAGAAGCTGCGTTGTTGCATCCTGGGAAAAATGACTTCTCTGTGATGTTTAGTTGTCGAAAGAATTGCGCTCAATTGTGGTTAGGACCAGCCGCATATATAAACCATGATTGTAGAGCGAACTGTAAGGTAAGTAATAATATGAACATTTGAAACTTAAACGTGATTACGTAAGAATTATTATATAAACTCAAGAATGTTAACTTTGTAGTTTGTGGCGACGGGACGAGACACAGCATGTGTCAAGGTGTTGCGTGATATCGAGGTGGGCGAGGAAATCACATGTTTCTATGGGGAAGATTTCTTCGGCGATGGCAATTGTTACTGTGAATGTGAGACTTGCGAGAGGCGAGGAACCGGCGCTTTCGCGAGTCAAAAACCAGGCGAAGAACTGTCGTCTGGTATGCTGAAGATTTATTTACAAGAAAAAAAAATACTAACGTTCATTACTCATCTACTTTTCCGTTTTTATAGGTTATCGTCTGAGAGAAACAGATAATCGAATCAATCGAACTAAACATCGACAGCAGCCATTAAATAGAAACAAACAGCAAGCTGATACTGCTCTCACCGAAAGAAATGCAGTTCTGGTTGGAAATGCGGCAGTCGCGCCTCAGTCTCTCAGTATGAAGGAGCTGCGACGCAAAGGGCTCACCAAATATGACGCAGAACTGCTGATTGCGCAAGGCTGCCGTTTTTCTGATATCAATCAGCAGCAGCCGACAATCAACAACGGCGAGAATATGCTGCAGACTCGACCACATCCCTCTGCGATCGCGACTTCTGTCACGAGGAGTCTCCGGAACAAACAAATGTGCAAGTTTGACGGCAGTACTGGTGACGGAAGTGTCATGAAGAATACTCAATCGCTCAGAGCGTCTAGGTAATTTATTTGATTCTTATGTTGTGTGCGATTATGTTTCACTTTTACACGTTTAATTTTAAACCGATTCTATGTTTTTTGATTCTGTAGACTTCACAAGAGAACGGAGTCGAAGAAAGGAAAAGTCGGTATGAAATCTGCATCACCCTGTCTCAACAATCCCGTTGTGAAAGATATGGAAGTAGTGGATATAGGTCATCGAAAGGATGACTCTGACAGAGTACCAGTGCATAAGGAAAGTTTATATTCGCGATTACAAAAACATCATCTGCCAAACGCATCGGAGGCAGACCGCGATTTCTGCGTGGAACAACCACGGTGTACCACGGCGGAGGAATCGAACGAAAATGCCTGTCCGCTGCGACTGACGGAGATGGAAGATACCGGGGAGTTGAACGGTGATGGCGACTCGGCGGAAGACGAACGGGGAATACCGAATCTCACCGCGGAAGTCGATCCTGAGGCAATAGATAACGTTAATTCTTCCAATTACAAAAAGGACATTATAGTACAAACGCCTGTGATTCAATCCGATTAAGTTCCACGTCTCAAGCTCATGTATCACAACGCTTACATACCGCGGAATTGATTCTCGAGGACACGGATTGTCACTCGAGGGACTACCATCATTCTTTATCGCCCGTGCGGCATAAGGAAAACGAGAACAATCTTTGCGATACCGTTGAGCGGACAAGTAGCGTTAACAAACGTTCCAGATCTCACGGTAAACGACTCTCCTCGACGGACGAACGAAATGATCGTAAGACGCCAAACGAAGAGTCGTCTTGCGAGTTCGAGGACGACGATTCGTTGTCAGTCGAAGAAAAGAAAACATTGCAATCTGAATTCCAAGAGAACGACATCTTACATGAGACGAGCTCCCGATCAGATGACGAATGTTGCGATATAAATTCTACGAAGGTAATTGCAGTGCGGAAGTACGCTATGGAGAAGGAAGTGGAAAGTGAAGGTTGCGAAAGTCCGATCATGTTGGCAACGGGTCGCTCGGACAGTGTCGAGTTATGTGAACTAAACTCTGAAGGAATCGTAGAGGCGAAAGATGATACCAAGAACGTGTTAAAGTGTTATAATGATACAGTTTCAAATCTTGGGGAAGAAGAGAAGAACATTGTGACGAAAAGTGACGCGTGTGTCGCGAGCATCGATACTGGCATCAGATCCAGAATGGCAATGTTATGCGCGACGGAGAGGGACTCCAGAATAAATATTACGGATGGAAATAACACAGCGATCTTCAATAACGTAGACACTATGAATTATAATAGCGATCTAACCGGCCATAGAAATTTAGACGACAATCACGATTCTGCATCAATGAAGAAATCAACATCTAGACGGAAAGATCACGCTTCAGACACATCTTCGAAATCGTCTCGTAAATCACAGAAGAGACTTTCAAGCGCCAAGTTGAAATATGGGATGTTGACAGAAGGTGTTCAGGATGATTTAAAGAGTCATAGCAAGGGAAAAAGCAAGAACAAATCTATCAAAAGCCAGAGAAGGGATCGACAGAGATCGGCGACAGCCGAGATAGGGGAAGCCGACGACGACTCGGGCATCCAGGGCGATATCTACGAGTTCAGTGAGAAGGAGAGCAATTTAGAGGATATCGGCATATTATCCATAATCAGACGCGGCAAACACGACTCCCGTCACGCGTCCTCGATTACCGTGTCGCCTGTGCAAGAGGTGCAATGCAATGACGAGTACAATAAAGCCGAACCACCGGTGTTGGTTCCGGAGGAACCGTGGCCTCCAACTGTGTCCCAAAGCGAACACGGCACAGAATCCAACAGCGGTGTTCAGTCTAAAATAAACTGTGATGTTGAAGTGAGCTTGGAACGGTAAGTATGTGATGAATACGTTTTCATTGCATTAAAAAATTATTTTCATTGTTTAAAATATTGATGTGAATTAAGAGTTTCTAGTATTTTAAGATACTGTATTTTGATAAGATCTTTCTTAAGTCAAGTTGAAGTTAAATCGAAGGGATTTCTTTCAGATTGACAGCCTACGAAAATAATGGCAGTACGCGAAAATCAACCCCGTCCGAGTGCCAATGGCGAACAAGCAGTTCGAGCGATTGTCGAGTTTGCCCGGTGACGCCGGAGAGAACCGGCGGTCGATTAAAGTTGACGTTGCGCATGAAGCGATCGCCAGTGCTGGACGACATCGTTGAGTCCGGCACCAGCGGTCTAAGCGAGGATAGTTACGAGCCTGAATACGAGGTGTTGCGCGTCGAGGGATTAGAGAGACGCAAACGCCGGAAGAAGCATAAGAGCAGAGACCGCGAAAGACGGCATAAGAAGTCACGCGAGTTGAATCTCGATCCACCGCCGCCGCCCATGAAAAGATTACGCTTGATTCTCGGCAACGAGACGCGCACCATCGATCTAACGCACTCTTAACAGCTATAATTCCTTCCGCCTCCCTCGACATGCCCCCATCGTCATGACGCGCGTGTAATATCAATTTCATTACGATATATAGACTATCTTTTTAAATATAATTAAAAACTGAAGATCATCCAGGACAAGTTAGGCCTCCTCGTCCTACGACATGTGACAGCGAGTTCATATCGAACTTGAAGATAATTTTCACGATGAAACTTGATTTAGTGTTAGAGCTAGTATCACTATTTCCTTATCTTTCTCATTCGCTCTTTCATCTATCTTTCTCCCTGTCTTTTCCTCTCTTGTAATCTTCGTTATTTAAATCTTCTAGTAATATCTTATTCTTCTAATAACAACGAATCTCTGAGGGCCTATCGAGATATCGTAAACGAGAAAAAAACGTGTAGATGGAAGAATTTTTAGATCGAGTACATGTTTTTCCTGTAGAGTAAAATATCGTACAAATCAGAGCTATAGTACGTGAATACTTATCCAAACGTTGTACACAATTAGAGATTGATAAAGTGCTTTAGCGTACTCTAAATAGATAATTCTTATTGATTTTATTGGAGCCAAATTGAGTGTATCTGTTATTTTTCGAAATTTAAAGTATCATCTATAATGAAGAAGTATATCGAGTTACAGAATTTTCAAAAATTCTATTTCTTTTCGCATTTCTTTTCCTTTAGATAGTTGTCTCCTAATGAACTATACCATACATGCAACAGATTGTATCGATCTCGTATTTCGTGAGATATAAGCGTATTCGAGTTAACTCTTACAAACTGTATCTCAAATTGTCTCTCAGTAGCGAATCATTTCGTAAGATAATTCTTATTATCGTTACTTTCTGCGTGGTACTCCAAAACGGAGAAGGACGAAGGAGGAGGAGATCCCTATACTTATACTATGTATAATAATTATCTAACTGATTAAAAGAAAAAAATTTAGCTAAATATTAGTTAGCATTATATTATAATCGCTATTCTCGAACAAAGGGTCAAAAATATCATGTGGAAAACCTTGTAAATATTGCTTATATATATATATATATATATATATATATTATAAGTAATTATATTATATATATATTCTGTATTTCGGTGTATTACAATGTCTTTCGATGCGAGTTGCAGGCAGGCATCGCATTGCATATATCATTGTATACGGAATACACCGGTCACACGATATTGTAGTAAATATTATAAGGAAGAGGGTCTCATTCGCGCGGCACATCGTTTTCGCTATATTACACGCCATTAGAATTCGAATGTCCATTGCAAATGAGGAGTCGAAATGACCCTTGTGCATAAGACATTGCCATCTGTTCGACATCACTTTTGTTCGCGAACGAAATACGATGCGCGAGGATTAGAGAAGTGAAACTCGCGTTACTCGAAATTTAAGCGATGTAAATTGAAACGCAATTTTATTCCATATCAAGTATAAAAATATCATATTTTTTTCTAATTCAATACATAGAAAAATGTAAAATGCGAGTTTTGCTTCTTATCAAATTGGAAAGGAAGCGGTATTGCCTTTTCAAAAGTTTCAGGAATAAAAATAGTCCTAAGTGATAATACAATCGAGATCAATCTTCGCTGTTCAAGAAAATTATTACAAAACGATATTACTTCATTTTCAATTTGATATCCGTTGTGGATATTCCTCATATTGTTAGAACACTCACGATAGAAATTATTGACGTTTTCAAAATCTGAAATGTGATATCGCAGAAGTTTGAAAGGAGCTCTGTATGAAGTAAGAGTTATGCGACACCGTTTGTTCATTGTATGTCGAGATTTAGTTAAAACTCTCATTTTGTCGAATGGGCCGTTACTCGTGTTCAATCTCGATTATTTGGTATGCGAATTATTTGCAAGTAATAATAAAGAGAAAATTTGTCAGGTACGTTTGTCGGATGAGCTCTGGAAAATTAGAAATGACTTTGCATGGTGTTGTATATAGCAATGAAAATTACGTACCGCAAAGACAAATACATAAATTGTACAGGTCATTGATTTTTTTTCTAAAGGAAATTACTCGAATACGATATAGATTAGACACGCAGAACGCAAGAAAAATTATTTATAAATTGATTATTTATTGTTCATTTAACGATAACAAATTAATTGTATGAGGTTAAAAGTGCATGATAGTTAAGCTAATTTTAATTAATATCCATCTAAATTATTGTTTTTTAATTATAATATATGCTATTTTGCTAAATTTCTGAACGATTAATCTCTCCTCGTTGAATCAAATCTTCCTTTCTTTGAAAAAAGGAGAAATTGTATAATTGTTTGTAGATTCTACAAAGAAAGAAGATATTAATCTTATTTTCCTATACACACATATACACTACTATACATACATACCTCTATATCAGAAAAATAATTAAAAAAAAAAATAAACGCTGCATTTGCCAAATTGCAATTTTTCTGATAAACATTCAGGATTGAATGCGTAATGTTAGTTAATAATTTAATAATTGCTTGATTTATTCGGAATCTAAAATTTGACTGGAAATTATGAAACAACTGATAGTAATTGATAAGAAAATTAATTGTTAATAATAGAGAATATTGGTGCATTTGATTAATTTTTATATCACTAAACGATTGATCGCAATTGATAACTGAATCAATTTTTAATTAACAATAAATAGAAAAAAAGGGATGTTCTTTTGAACTATTTGATTCTTGATTAAAATTTTTAAAAAGTAATTATCTGTATTATATATAATTGATTCCTTGATTCGCATTAAAGTTGAACAAAATATAATGGAAATTGCTTTTAATATAATTTAAAAATCGCTTCAGAAAGGTCAAGGACTTATAAATGATTATATAATTATTATTTAATAAGCGCGACATTATTCGAAGATTATTCGCCGACGTAGCTTCACTCATCGTGTAATCGTAAGGATGCTTTGTTAACGCTATTGTTGCATGTTTGTAGCGGCCCATTTCGAGAATATTTTCTATGAGATGCACACGAGGAAAAATTGCCACTCGATATTTTTTTCTCTTTATTCGCGATTTGTATTGTGATTGCGATACGCGACGAGTCGATACGCGATCGACTCGAAACGTTTCTTTGTTTTTCTCAGAAGGGAAGGGAAGAGGAAGAGACGATGAAGGAAAAAAGAGAACGGATATCTTCTGGGATATATAAGGAAATTTTTTTCGAAGAGTTTCTATTCGTAACAGAAGTTCTGCGTCACGACATTTATTTCCCGAACCAGCGTCGATGTCGTTCTCTTTCATTTTTTCTTTCTTTTTTTTTTTTTTTTTTCTTTCCTTTAGCCCTTTAGCAAACGCTTTAACCCTCATTCGTTATCGGCAGAATTTTTGTCTCACTGCCATTAGGACAATGATGTTAATTCGTACGTTTGGATTAATCGTTTGTGAGAGCACGGAATATAAGAAGAGTCGTAAATCGCATCCCCTACGCGAGACACTCCTAACGATCATTGTTATAGACGAATTTCGGGCACGAATTGAGGAGCACGATATTTTGTGAGTCTTCTCCGAGAGTAGCCCGAAAAAGAAAGAAAGGAAGGAAGGAAGGAAGGAAAGAGAAAGATGAGTTTCTTTTCTTTCATAGAAGACTCGCGACCGCGCGCGGCGCGTACATTGTAATTATACATATTACCTTATTTGTTGAGCGAAAGATATATAGAAATGTACATTGTCATTATTATTTTCTACGGATTAAGGAACCATAATAAATGAATCGCATAAACGTAATAACATCCTCTCAGTTATTCATTCTCCATTTTTTGTTAATAAAAGAAACATTTGAAAAATAGTAATCTTTTTTTATTAATTTATCCTTTTTTTTGTTAAGAGAATTAAATGAGAGATCATACATATCAATATCATTTTTGAGTCTTATTCTAAATTTTCTTGTTAAATTTGATTTAAAATTTATTTAAATTTTGTAACTTTTAAATAAAGTCACTGATGATGTTATCGATGATTAGTAAAATTAATAGTTACTTTACCTAAAAAAATGCAAAATTTCAAATCGAAAATTTGATTTTTCTTGTAGTATTTGCAAATTTAAAGAAATATATTTTAATGATTCTTTGGAAATATCAAAAAAATATGAATTTTTATTTAGTTCTTTATTTGATTCTGTTGAGTGAAAGAAAGATGAATTTTACAGACATTTCAAAGGATCATGGAAATAGCATAATTTAATTGTAATTGTAATGTAATTGTAATGACAATTATAATTAACATAAAAAGTACAATTCAATTATAATAAAAATATAAATATAAATTTAAGATATTTAATTGTGTTAAAGTATTTAAAAATTTAAGATTATAAATTCTTTTATCGTACATAAAAGAATTAAATTAAAGATTTTAACGATTATTAAGATTTTAATTTTGTCCAATAGAGAATATTAAAAATAAAATTTAATTTAAAAATAAAATTAGATTGTTTTTTTTCCAACAATATAAAAATTTTTCTTTTTACTGCAGTAGAATTGATAAAATATTAATTACAATTTTAATTATTAGCGACACTAATGATATTAAGCTATTTGAAATAAGATCAATTCGATAAATCGTTGTAAAAACTTTTAATAATTTAATTAAATCAATTATTAATTAAATCAATGATGTAAAACTATTTCTAAAAGGAAGATATAGCCCAACACAAATAATTTAAATTTAATTTTTGAAAAGTATAATTCTTTTTTTAAAGATAATATTTTGTTTCTCCAATATTTCTTTCTTTTGAAATGATTATTGAACAAGAATATATTTTTCTTGGTAGAATTATATTAAATTTCTTCATATAAACAAATTATATTTGTTTGATGCATGAATTATATTTGTTTAACACTATAATTTTATTTCAATATTTATATGTATATTTTATTTCAATATTTATATAGCATATTTACATGTGAAAATAATTTCTGAAAAAAAAAGAACATTTTTTTTAATGTAGTTATGAATATGTGTAATACCGAGCTGTTTCTTCGCGCAGATGCATTTGTGGATCCTAATTTCTTTTCTTATTAATAATATTACAAAAATCATTAAATGGCATAAGACTTTTATACTCAATTTAATCTTTATCTGAAAGGTGAAGTAAATTGTAATCTGCAAATTGTAAGAATTGTAAGAATTGTAAGAATTTATCCTTTATAGCAATGTTCTTGAGGAAACTTCTTGCAAAAGTAAGTTTTCTCTTATGAATAAAAAAGTTCACAATAAAAAATCGCCTCTAAAAAATTTTTAAGTTCAAAAAATCAAAAAATTATTCTATTAATTATGTTTACATAAGTTTATTTATTTTTTCTGCTAATAATAAAATTTATTAAATAGAAAATCATAAACGTTATTATATTTTATCTAATTGTGATTTTAATAAATAATATCTAATTGTAAGTTGAATATATAAATTAAAATTTTAAGGATTTTTTGACGATCACTCTGCAATGCTTTGCGATTCTCATTATAAAAACATTATTTTATAATGTTATGTGTACACAATTTTTAATGATCTGAAAATTGTATATAAATTTAAAAATAATTTTGTCAGGCAAAAAATAATTATATATGTAAAGCATGATGATAATAATGCAACAATTGTTATTCTAGCAATAAATTTGAATGTCCTAATTATTCCAATGGTTCAATAAAATTATTTTCATATTTCTATCTGGTCATATTTTTGATACTCCAGCAAAATTGTTCTTTCCGTCCGCAGCAATATAAAATTATTGTATAATATAAAATTATATTCTGATTTCCCAAGCAATTTTTAGCTTCTCTTTCCGCTCAGATATATTTCTACTAAAACTGTATCACACCGATCGAGATTATATTCTTTTAAAAGAGCGATTCCAATTAAGATTTCTTCATGACATCTTAAAACAGTGTCAAAGATGTCGAATCAGAATCACTTAAGACGACTTAAAGATTATATATATATATATATATAAATATCTTCTTTCTAGCAGTCTACAAGTTATCTTAGAAATTTTAAGACGTCTCTTAAATGACTTCCAGACGTCATAATATTTCCTGGGAGTGCTCTGACAATAAACTTTGCTCAAAATTAGACTCAATCGATCAAGTCATCGATATGTTTGACGCCACTTAGGCGGTGTTCGTCGTATTTTATCATCATGCTTTATTAGTGGGCCAGCTAGAAGTGATAAATAATGTTTACTCGCGGGGATACCCGGTAACAATGTACCGTCATCTACTAAAATACACGGCTCGCACCGGCTTTCCGGAAAGTCGATACAGTTCGACCAACTTTTCCTCTATTATTGCAAAGCGCGCGAACAAGAGACGAGTCGATAGGACTCATTCTCACGCATTGACTGCTCATCAGATAGGGAATAAACCACGATGTCTGCATGCCGCGCGCGCATTCTGCGGGTGCGAATGCTGCGGAAAGCGGAATTTAACGCGGCTCCCGGGGACTTGTTTTCTCTCTCTTTCTCTTCTCTCTCTCTCTCTCTCTCTCTCTCTCTCTCTCTCTCTCGTCGCCAATCGAACCGGGAACGCGTTACACATGCATCATCCTCGCAGTAAATAGCGATCGCGTGTGTAACGCCGAGAGTATGTCGCGAACGCTTTCCAAGAAACACCAGTTGACGCATAAAACGCCTGGCGTTTGTACAACATTGTATAATTATCTAATTTTGCTCTCTGCATAAGTCATCTCGTGGGAGGAACGCGTCCGGCGAGGAGAACCGTTCGACATCCATTTAAGTTTTTCCAAGTTGCATCTTATCCCTCGTCGTTTCGAGTTTCTATTTATTTCAAGTTTCTCGACGCGATTTGAAGAAAGTAGCGTCTCCCTGGTCCAATAACGCGATTCGATATCGCGACGCAAACTTTCTGTTATATAAGCGAAAAGAAGTGACAGCTTCGATCCTTCTGATCGAGATAAATTTTAAATTCGTTTGTAGCCAGCGTGGTAAATTAATTTCTCCTCCTCCGTTCGCGTTGTCGGGTCGATCGGATCCCGTCG